GAGGTGGTGGAGAGGAGCTGCAAAAAAAAAAAGTGGGAAGAGAACGGAAAACCCTGCTCAGGCCGGGCCGTGGCCCTGTCACCTGGCACAGTTGCTGGTGGCTTTTTTGCTGTTTCAGCTGAAATACCATGTGAAAGACAAACCTCCCGCTTCTGCTCCCGTCTTGGTGTCCGTGATCTCTGTGTCCTTGATCCTTCTGTCCCTGCATCCCTGCATTCCTGTGTGCTTCATCTCTGCATCCCTGCATTCTTGCATCCCTGCATCCTTGCATCCCTGCATCCCTCTGTCCTGTTGTCCATGATCTCTGCATCCCTGCGATCCTGCATCCCTGTGTCCTCAATTCTTGCATCCCTGCATCTCTGTGTCCTTGATCTCTGCACCCATGCCTTCAATCCTTGCAATCCTGCATACCTGCATCTTCAGTCTCTGCATCCCTGTGCTCCTGCATCCCTGCAGGTCTGGCCCACGGGCTGTTTGGGGAGGGAGCGTCCCTCTTGCGGTCACAGTGGGTCTGGACAAGGCTGTGGACCTCACTGGAGCTCCGTGGCTGTCCATCAAGTCTCTTTCCCAGCCAGGAGCACCTCGTTCCCCTGTTGCCACACCACAGCAGCATCTCGGCAGCTTTGGGTTGTGGTTTTCCTTGTTTCTCCTTGGAGCATCCTCAGAACTCTCCCGGTCCTGATCCCAACTTGTCCTTTCCACACACATCTCCTCTCCTTTTCCATTTTGCTAAATGCTGGAGCTGGCTGGGGAAAGACAACCTCATCACAACCTCTTTATGATGGAAAATGGCTCTATGAAAAGCCGAAAAATCCCCACCAGGCTTTGGAAGAAAGGAAATTTCACTCCTCTTCCAAATAAGCGCGATTCTGGTGGGAGAAGTTTGACAACACTGCGGGCCAGCCCTGTAGCTGGCTTCCCAGCAAACTAGTTGGGCAAACCACGGTGCTTTCTCCCGCTTCAAGTCCCAGCTTGTTCCCTGGGCCGGCAGGAATGAAGCTCTCCTGGCCCGGCTGCCGAACCCTTCCCTTCCCCCTTCCTCCCTCCATCCTCCCGGCACGAGCATCCTCCAGCTCTGGGGGATCCTTCTCCATCCCCCCCAGCCCCAGGTCCCTCCTGGTGGGGGTGGGGGGGTGTCATGGTGGGGACCCCCAGCTCCGGTGTGGGGATGCTGTTGGAGCCACTGGCACTTTGCTGGGCTGAGCAGAAGCGGTCGGGCTGCGGCGCGAGTGCGGCAAATTCCTCATTCCTCTTCCCTGTGCTGTGCGGTCTGCCTGCCATCTTTGCATGCAAACAGTAAACAGGCTGTTATTATCCTGGATGCTTGGAATAACTGTGGCTATTTTTTCTCTTCCCAGTATTCTAAAAAGGCAAAATATTCCCTGCGGTTTCTGAGTCAACTTTTTTTTTCCTCGCTTTCTTTTCTTTCCTTCCCACCACCTCTGTGACCTTGAAAAACCAGGCAGACGAGCTCGCCAGCTCTCCCCGTGCGCACCCGCTCCCCAGCTGCTGCTCCCTGCAGCCAGCAGCGGGCAAATTTGGGGCCAAGTTTGGTGGCAGAGCAGCCCTGGGCTGGTGGTGCTGGGCAGGATCCAAACCATTGGGTCCCTGGCCCATTGCTTCCCTTGGCCAAGGAGGCTGGGGATGCTCAAGGAAGGTGGTTGAGGATGCTCAAGGAGGCTGGGATTGCCTGAGGGGGTTGAGATGCTTGAGAAAGGTGGCTGGGGATACCAAGAAGGATGGGGATGCTCAAAAAAGGAGCCTGTGGATGCTCATGGAGGCTGAGTATGCCCCACGGGTGCAGCTCATGGGGGCAGCTGGGACAGGGGTGCAGGATGCTCCCTGTGCTCCTCATTTTGTATCCCCAGGGGTTGGAAGATGCACGTCTGGGGTTGATGCAGGTGGCTGGGAGCCCAGGGGAGCAGGAGAGCAGGCCGAGCATCCAACTTGTGCAGGCAGCAGGGATCCTCCAGTTCACCCTGCAGGTCCCTGGGCAGGGCTGGGACTCCTTCCTCCCCTTTCTGCCTCCTCATCCTCTCACAGGGCAGCCCCATAGGCACGTTTCCACCTTTGCTCTTAGATGTGAGCCCTAAAAACCCTCTTTGTACCCCATATCAGGGCCTTTGGGTATGCACGTGGTGGGCACCCATCCTCACCAGGTCCTCAAAAGGGCTTGTTGGTATGTGGGGTTGGATTTTTTTGGGAGGCTTTCTTGAAAATTAGTCTGGACCACACTGCCCAAGTGCTGGGATGTGGGACACACACCCCTGCCTGCTGGAGGAGGAGGAGATGCCTGATGAAGAAAGCTCCACATTCAGCCCCAGGTTGTTTCATCTCGGTTGAATTTTTGGGATGCTTCGGATGCTCCAAGGAGCAATGGCGAGCCTGGAGGGATGGTGGTGAGGAGGCGAGGAAGAGGAGGTCAGTGCCAGGTGAGATGCAGAGGAAGGGCATGAATTCATCCTCGGGCAGCACCTCTGGGGGAAAACCAGCGCTGGGCTTTTCCATGGGGGTCCGTCCATGCTGGGAAGGCACCGGAATGGGAGCTGGGGGATGATGGTTGAGCCCAGGTGATGCCATTTCTCACAGCGCTCAATGCCCATTATACTTCTTATGTGCATAAATTAAATTATTTCTGTATCTTTATGCTCCCTGACAGCTATAGGTGAGTTTTGGGCAGCAATAAGCATCCCTGATGTCCCGCACATCACCTGGGACATTGCAGTTCACTGCGAGC